CTCCATGTCTCTTTTCCTAGAATGAGGATTGGAGACAGTATGTCCTAACATCAGATCCTCCTTCCCATTCAGACTCCTGTGCCCACTGCCTCCTGTTAGGGGGCAGAGTGCTTTATAGAGGAGAGAAGTTCTAGATTATTCTAACCACATTTTGTATAAAAGCCATGCATTCCTTCGCCCTCCTTCACTGGGCCGTCCAAAAATGCTGCAGGGACATCACGGAGGCCACACGCAGGCCACCCCCCCTCAGCTGACGTCCCAGCTGGGAATCACACGTGACCAGCAGGCTGCGGGCTGTGGGTGGGTGAGACCGGCAGGCAGTGGGTGCTCAAGTGCTTGGATGCAGGAGTGAGCTGAGGTGAGGACAAGCCAGACTGGGGTAAGCACAGAGACAGGGGAGAACCACACATGGGAGTCGCTCACCAGCCCCGCAAACCTCCTGCGCCCTAAGTGCTTGGTAAGAATATGCAGATTGTAGGAAGGGACAGGCTGTTGAGGGGAAAGCCTAGATGAGGGAGGCAGGAACCTGTGTTCTGAGAGATGCGGTGTGAGGCAGCCAGAGGGCCCTGCTCTCTCGACCTCGGCTTCCTCCTCGAGACTGAGGGTCCCCAAATCAGAGTTGCACACACTACAGCTCAGGGACCAAATCCAGCCCCGGCCCACTTTGTAACAGCCTGTGAACCAAGAATGGAGTCACAGGTAACATTTGCAATCAGTTTAATGACAGGGAACATTAACTGTGAACCCCAGTCATGCAAAATATTATCCCTATAAAAATAATTCCTTTCTTCCATTCCGTATGTTGATCTGTATTACCAAAAAGTATACCCAATTACTATCATATTCTGAATTTAGTCAATAAAATCTTTATGACATGCACCTACATAATATCCTCAGTTTTGCCTCTTGACCTGCAAAACCTAAAATATTTATGATCCAGCCCTTTACAGAAAATGCTTGTGGGGCCCTGGACTCAGTGGGCTCTGAGACTCATTACAGCTCTGGCGCCTCATTCCTCATGGGTGTGAGGGGGTCAGGGAGAGGGAAGAAGTTCCTGGACTGTCTCTCTTCTTCCCGCAGGCTTTCACAAGGTCATGGAGGGCATCCACAAGGCCATCGAGCTGGGCTACAGCCCTGTGAAGGTGAGGACCTGCCACTGCTATTGGCCCCTGAGTCCCTGTCCCCTCCACCCTAGCTTGGCCTTTCCCTGTTACCTGCTGGCCCCATGTCAGCTCAGTGTCCCCCTGCATCCAGCCCTGCCCGTCACCCCGCAAGGGAGGGGAGAAACTCCGACCCCATGGGATCCCCCAACCCAAGGAGAACAGTATGGTGAAAGGCAAGGATTGGGACCCCCAGTGGAGAGCCAAGGCAGGTCCCAAATCCCCAGAGTTCATCCCTGCAAAAGCAGCCCTGGGAGACAGCCCTCGTGGTCCCTTTGTCGCTGGGCAGGTGAACTGTGTGGTGATGCGAGGCCTGAACGAGGACGAGCTCCTGGACTTTGTGGCTTTGACCCAGGGCCTTCCCCTGGACGTGCGCTTCATAGAGTACATGCCCTTTGATGGTCAGTGAGGTGGGGTGCGCGAGGGAAGGGAGGCTGGGCCTGTGGACGGAGCATGGAGACCCTAGGAAGGGTGGAGTGGCGCAGCAAGGTCTGGTTCACCCTGTGGGTGCTGCTGACCTCTCACCCTGATGTGTGCCCCGCTGTGTGGGTAGAAATTTCTCCAGGGATGGTGGGGAGGGGCCCCAGTAGGCGCTGGAGCTAGGGCTGCGGTGGGGCATCAGAGGCATTTAGGCAGGGCCTCCTGACCTCCAGTCCCAGAGAACTGATTCCTGGACTGTGTGGAGGGCGGGCCCCAGAGCCCCTGGGTCCCTGCAGTGCTGTGACTCAGGGGCCTCCATCCCTGATACAGGCAACAAGTGGAATGTCAAGAAGATGGTCAGCTACAAGGAGATGCTGGACACCCTCCGGCAGCAGTGGCCGGAGCTAGAGCAGCTGCCTGAGGAGGAATCCAGCACAGCCAAGGTGCGGGGCAGCCTGGGGTGGGGCAGGGAGGAAGGGTGGGAGAGCAGCAGGGGCCACACTGAGGTCGAGGGCAGCGATGCAGGGCAGTGCCATTTAAGCAGGGAGCCCTTCAGGGCTATCACAGCCGCCTCCCTTCTCCTGGATAAAGAAGCGGGCCATGCATGGGATGGCGGTTAAGTGACTTGTCACAGGACACATGCCAGTAAGTGGTGGAGGGGTTCAGTCTCCTCCTCCACGGTGCCTGCCCTGGCCATGCTGCCCACGGGTCCCCGTACCCTTAGCAGGTTTGCCCTGGGGCAGGCCTGCTCGTTCCACAGGCAGAGCTCGTTCCACTCATGTGCCAGCGTCTTCTGTCTGAGGGCCTTGGGTGCTCCCTTCCAAAGGGCTCCCCTGGCGAGGGCTGTGGAGTGAGGGCTCATCTCAGGGAGGGAGAGCTGGCACCCCCCACCCATGTCCCCTCCACTGCCCTTTCCCTCCTCACCCAGACCTTTAAAATCCCTGGCTTCCGAGGCCAGGTCAGTTTCATCACATCCATGTCTGAGCATTTCTGTGGGACCTGCAACCGGCTGCGAATCACAGCTGACGGGAACCTCAAGGTGAGTGTCTGAATATCCCTCCCACCTGAGCCCCTTGGTTGGAGGGGAGACTGGCAGGGCCCACGGGATGGTTGGTGAAATAGCGTCAGATTTGGGGAGGTCCTGGGAGCAGTCGGGGAAGGGTAACACATGGCCCCCATGGAACCGTCACCCTGATTCCTTCCTTTCTTTCCTGGGTCCCTAGAGTAACTTGCAGCTGATGGGGAGCCACTTTCCAGCACTTAGTGCGGCCATAGTCTGGGGGGGGGGGG